GAGGGGGAGGGGGAGGGGGAGAGGGAGAGGGCGGCGAAGGGGGGGTGGAGCGTTTTCGGGGCTTCTGCCTCGCAGATTTACTAGCCTCTGGCCCCCAGGCCGCAGCCAATCAGCGCGGGCGCCCGGGCACCTGCGTCCGTGCGTCGGGCGCCGGGCCGGGAACGCTGGCGCCCGAGCTGCGAGCGATTTAAAACGCTCGGCGTTCCCAGGCCCTGCGCGGGGAGAGCGAGCTGGGTGCTCCCCGCGTCCCCCGCTCGCGGCGCCCCATGAGCCCACCCTCGGCCCCATGGAGCCGGGCAACTATGCCACCTTGGACGGGGCCAAGGACATCGACGGCTTGCTGGGCGCGGGAGGGAGTCGGAATCTAGTCGCCCACTCCCCGCTGACCAGCCACGCGGCGGCGGCGCCATCGCTGATGCCAGCTGTCAACTATGCCCCCTTGGATCTGCCAGGCTCTGCGGAACCACCGAAGCAGTGCCACCCATGTCCCGGGGTGCCCCAGGGGGCGTCCCCGGCCCCGGTGCCTTACGGCTACTTTGGAGGCGGGTACTACTCCTGCCGCCTGTCCCGGAGCTCTCTGAAACCCTGCGCCCAGGCGGCCGCCCTGGCCGCCTACCCCGCCGAGACGCCCGCGGCCGCGGAGGAGTACCCCAGCCGCCACGCCGAGTTCGCTTTCTACCCCGGGTACCCGGGACCCTACCAGCCCGTGGCCAGTTACTTAGACGTGTCGGTGGTGCAGACTCTGAGCGCCCCCGGGGAGCCTCGCCACGACGCCCTGCTGCCTGTGGACAGTTACCAGCCCTGGGCCCTGGCCGGTGGCTGGAACAGCCAGATGTGCTGCCAGGGAGAACAGAACCCGCCGGGCTCCTTCTGGAAGACGGCGTTTTCAGGTAACGTGACTCACTACTCTGGGTCCCCTCGGCGCCAAGCATGGGGCTGCAGGCCCCGCTGGCACTTGCCTGGGAGGAGGTGCAGGGAGACTTGGGGCTGGTGAGGAGTTTGGTGATCCTCTGGCTATCAGGATTCTGAAGGAGGGTGCGGGCAGTTGGCGAGCCTGAGTGGAGCACCCCCCTCCCAGGGCCAGCGTGAGGGCTTGGGGCTGGGTATCATCTGCAGCCGGAGGGTCGCTAGGCCCTTCACATCCCTCAGACACGAGCCTTTCAATATACCCGTGTTTGGCTCTTTGCTGTTAGATGGGGATCAGGGTGTCGCTGCTCAGCAGATCCCAGTTTAATTCCACAAAAAGGCTAAATAACTCTCGATTCAGTGAGTGTGGGGGTGGGAACAGATATATTGGAAATTCTGTAGCGTAAAGAATACAATTCCTTACTTTCTCTTTGATGAGTTTTTTCAGTTTCCAAAGGAAAATTTAGATTTCCTGCAGTCATAACTTAGGTATGTGCATTGGTATTGGGGTGTGTGTGTGTGTGTGTGTGTGTGTTGGGAGTGGGGGCAGAAACGTGTTGTGTTGCTTTCTATACAGAATTTGCCTGTAGAATCTATGAGTGGCTGAGAATCTGAAATGTGTGTGAGGGTGGACATATGTGACTGTGGGCAGAGGTCTAGTTGTGTGTGATGGGTGTGTTTGTAGACTTGCAGGTGTGAGGGCAGTGATGGGTGAGGGTGGTCTACAGGAGCCTACTCTTTCCAAGGTGATCAAAGAACCAACCAGAAGCCCTGGTGTCCCTGGGTGCTTTGGGGGAGTGGGCACACACGTGCGACTGTAGGATGACCTGGGTGCTCCTGCAGGATGACTTAGTTTGTGGGGCCTGGGTCTGTGCCTCGGCAGGGCCTGAACGTGCCTGTCTCTTCCTCTCTTTCCCACTCTTCAGACTCAAATGCTCAGCACCCTCCAGAGGGCTGCACCTTCCACCGAGGCCGCAAGAAGCGCATTCCCTACAGCAAGGGCCAGTTGCGTGAGCTGGAGCGGGAGTATTCAGCTAACAAGTTCATCACCAAGGACAAGAGGCGCAAGATCTCAGCGGCCACCAGCCTCTCAGAGCGCCAGATCACCATCTGGTTTCAGAATCGCAGGGTCAAGGAGAAGAAGGTCCTTGCCAAGGTCAAGACCAATGCTACTCTGTGAGGCAGCTCCCTGGCTGAGGAGGTGTGGGGGTATCCTGGGGAGACCAGGAACCTGCCAGGGACAGGCCGGGGCCCAGGACTCTGCTGAGGGGCCCCCAGAGGTGATACTTTCTTCAGGCCATGGCTCCTGTGCTGTTTCTCAGGGACAACCTGAGTACCCGATATGTCCCAGTGAGCCAGCGAGGCCCAGAGTTACAGCCTAATCCCCCAGAGTGATACCACCGATAAGGACCAGTTCTAGTCATAATCATTCATCCTGGCAGTGGTGATAATCACCATAACCAGTACTAGTTGCCACGATAATTAGTCTCATATTTTCTATCTGGAGCTCTGTGGAGCACTATAGATACTATGTTCATGGAATGAGTTGATCATGAATAAACTTGGAAGGAAGCAGTGACAGGGAAGCTTCCTCTGGATCCCTTCTGTTTCCAAAGCCCACCCCTCATCCCAGTGTCTGCAGGGGAGAGGCAATAAGGCAGTCACCCCGGTGACTATGTTTCCCATTGAGCATTTTTCTAAGATAACAGTTGGGCAGGGTAGACAGTGCTGGAGGGTGCCTCTCCCTCCCTGCCCACCCCATAGGTTGTACCCACTGGTCTCAGGAGCCCCCATCCCCAACTCTTGGATTTTATCCTTGTGTGAAAATGAAGCCAGTGGCCTGCCCTCCCGATCTGTTCTCATTCCTTCCAGAGAAATGGAGTTTGAGAAAGTGCCTGGATAATTCACCATTTCTCACTTCTGCCCCAAAACTTTCCAGATCTTCCCCTAATGTTCCTGGTGGTTCTGACCTAAGCACGCGGTGGTTCATTGGACATTTGGGAGCCGCATGAAACAGATAATTGTGGCCTTGTAATTCAGCCCCATCTAGGCACAAAGAGTTACCGAATGACAGCTTAGAATCCTATGCTACTGGCAAGCTGTACCAAACATGCTGGTATAGCTGGGCAGGAGAGAAACCCCCAGGACCTGGCCCCTTTTGCCACCCATTTCTCCTCTGCTTGCCTCCTCGTGACACCCAGAGGAGCTTGCGGGTCTCAGTCCTGGGAGATAGAGCAGGCCGTTTTTGGGGGTGGAAGAAAGGAGGGTGGCAGGAAGCCCAAAGATCCAAGCTCACGGTGGGGAACAGTATGCAGCCTCAGTCACAGGGGCTACAAACTTCGTTTTCTTTCCACTTTGCGGTGGCTTAGTCCACATATCCTGAATCCCGTGTGGGCGGAGGGCGGGTTGGTGCCAAGTCTGCTTTCCCGGGCCACGTAGACGGAGACCCACAGCGCGGAATTCCAGGAACCTGGGGCAGGCGGGCTGCTCCGGAGCCCGAGGCCCGGACGCGGCGCCTCCGCGCCAGCTCCCTGACGGCGCGCACCAGGGCACAGTGCCTGGTGGGACTTGTTATCCTGGCTGCGGCAAAGCCGGCGGGTTTGCGCTCGATCTTTCTGCAGCCGGGCCGGGGGGATCTAAGCGGATACGCTTCCCGCGGCCGAGCTCACAGGCGTGAAGTGCAGAGGACGCCTTGGACCGACTGCGGAGCCACCCAGCAGCGCGCCTGCGGCCTTGGGGGCCACGGCCGTGATCACGATGGCAGTTCCCTCTGGAGCCAGCTCCTAGTTCTCCAGGAAATCCCAGGCCTCCAGCTGCAGCCGCCGAGAGATCCGGGTATTTCCAGGCTGCGGTGGGGAGGGGTTCCAGTCCCCGCGTCTCTCCCGGAAACAGTTGGGAAGCGACTCAGACTCTTTTAAATCTTTTTACCAAAAAACAGCTGGGGCTGAGGGAAAGGCCCCGAGGCGGGCGGTCACCCTCCCTTCCTGAGCCTCTTAGACTGTGTACTGGGGGGCGGTGTGTGTCAATTTTGTGATTAAAAAAAAATGCATCCAAGCCCCGTGGTCCGATTTAAGCTCCGTTAAGCACCCGACTCAGAGGAGGTTGTTTTCTGCCTCCCTGGTTCCCCTTCAAGTGAAGTCCCAAGCAAGTAGCTTTTAATATCAGTTTCTCGAGGACAGTGCGTGCAAACCCCTCCCTCGCTGCTTCCTAAACGGCGAGACTTCAGCCCAGACAGGCGTGTGGATAGGGTGTGGGACAAATGACCGGGAGCGCCCTGCTGCGGGGTCCCCACAGGCAGAGGGGAAAGGCCGCAAGAGGGGTTGCCACTTGGACTGAACGGGATGGCCTAGGTAGAGGCCTGAAGGAGTCAGGGCCTCCAGACTCTGGACTTCACTATCAGGAACTTAAAGTCTCGGCGTGCCTCTATTATTTGCTCGTAATAATTTCAGAACGAGAAAAAGGTTTGGGATTTTAGAGATTTATTTCGCCACTGATTTGAGTTTGAACTATTAAAAGGACAAGGGCGCCCCCTTCCGGCAGAAACTCGTCATTTCAGGGAAACCTGCGGATCCGCTCCACTGTAACCCGCAACCGGTCCTAGGGCTTCGCGGTGCCTGGAGCCGCCGGGGTTACAGAGTTTGTGGCTGCGGGTCCGATAGAGCGCGAGGACCGGGAGTCGCCTGGAATTGGGCCAGGGTATCGGCAGATGTGTCGGTCCAGACGCCAAGAGACCCAGGAAGGAAGCCAGGAGGGCAGCACGGGCGATCTCGAATGGAGAAAGAACAGGGCGGGCAGGACTCAGGAGCAAGGCCACGGCGCCATCTACCCTTGGATCAGGTCCTCGTTCCGCTGGAGGATTATAGTATTTCTCATTCTCGCCAGAACAATTCTCGGCGGACCTCCCATTGTCTTTCTGAATGATTTACTTGTATGGACCCTGAGCAACAAAAAAATTTTTTTTTGGAAATTTTGTTTTGTATTAAACTTTTATTTTTTTTTTAAATCACCAAACACCAATTTTACTCCTGAGGCGAATTGTTAC